GACTATAAACAAGGATCGAAGTATCCTTTTATTTTATTTCAGTAACCTCACCAAACAAAGTACCTCATCCACTACTTATTTTGTCATTAGTCTTATTCCGTGAGCATAAAATAGGCTAGTGTTTAGTAAAAAAATATTGCCTCCCTCAGTCCGTGTTCAAGTTCATGTATGATGTGATTGATGTCACTAATAATTTTTTATTGGGTAAAGAAAATATTACCATAGAATGTCAAACAGTGGTTAAACAGTCAATAATTAATAGTCAAATTTCTATTAAACCAGATAGCCAGACATACCCCTGTGCCAAATAGTGTCAAAATAGCTTTTAGAGAGTCAAAGAAAAAATATGATTTCTTTACACTCAACACATACTGTCATGGGCATGGAAAAGAAAGGCCAACCATATGAATTTTATAATAAAACTCTAGTGAATGAAATGCTTCCAGGCTCACCAAAAATTTGATATTTTGGGATCCTGATAAAGCCTTAGCTCATTGTCTAGAATCAAAACAGTAGCCAGCTGCTAAGCACAGAATACTAAATTACTCCGCAGTAAACAACAAAAACTCAACAACGATAAAATAGTGAAAAAATAGCACATAATCCAACCATAAAGGATTAAAGCTAGTGTTGGTATACAGCAGTCCTTACCTTCCAAGGTGCGGAAGCCATGAATATCATACCCAGCAAGCAGACCCGATACTCCATATTCCATTTCGATTTCCCACCACCTGCGTTTAAACTCCAGCTAAACAGAGCATCCAAACCTAAATAAAGAAAACTAACTATCTTTAATTGCAAACCCAAAGATATGACTAACTCTCAAAATCAAGAAAATTAACGAAGCCAAGAATTTATATAACCATGTACCTAACTTGTATACTTAATAATGGAGGCCCATTTCACACTAAGATACATACGTGTGAACACAGAGAAGCAGAAAGCAGATGAGAAGTGAAAGGGAAGACGAAGAGCAGTGGAGAAATAGCGATTTGTCCTCCCCCGAGTGTATCTATCAGTGAAAAACAGGTGGGAAAATAAAGGAAAGGCTGGTTTCTCCCAAAACGTCGCAGTAATAATTCTATGGACGAGACAGCGACACAGTTTCGGCTCCAAAGAGTAAGCTTAATTGTTGTTAGAGCATCCTCCACAGTAGAATGTTGGAAGTGGAAATACGTCTGTGTATCTCTGTTGGGCTTCCATAATCCATTTTAGGACAGAGTATGGTATAGGTATAACCGGATAGGTAATAAGGTATGCTTGTCAAGTTGGGCGGAGTCATAAACTTTTGTCTGTGTCAATCGTACGGGATGGGACCAGCGGTGGGGAAGGGAAGAACAGGTGCGTGGCGGGTCAATTCAATCCCGTGACTGTTTGGATTATGCGTGTTTTTATTTAAATAAACTTATCTTAGTTCTACAATAGACCAAACACAAACACTTTGAACAAACTTTTACGTTAGCTTGCACTCCCTCCGTCCCAGTTCCGAATTGAATCTCAAACTTTGATCGATACAAGGATTAAGGAATGATAATAAATGTTGCTTCCTTTTTACACTTTTGTCCATCTTTCTAAAAGTAGGTGCTTTTAAGTTAATGGGAAAAAAGTAAAGGTAAGGGTAAATTTGTCACTTTATTCTTATTTACATACCTAAAATAGAAAGTGAAAAATCATTTTGGGACAACCAAAATAGAAATTTCGCAAATCAAATTGGGACGGAGGGGGTAAGATATAGAGAAATCACATGTTTATCGTACCACATTAGTTCTAATTAGATTAAATTATATCAGATTCAATTAAATCAAATTAGATTAGACTAGACTAAAAAAATCAACTAGTTAAAAACATCTTATGTGTGAAAACGTTTACTTAAACCCGGTTGTTGACTAGTTGGTTTGGAGATGATAAGTCAATTCGTTTCTATCGCTTTTAGAGCGAGATTGCATGAAAATGATTGAATTAGTTGAATCGGTTGGTATTGATAAAACTTTGGATACAACGGTTGAATTTGCTGAATTTACTGAATTATGTGAAAAAGTTCTTGGAATTCCAAATAGAATTGTTATGATTTTCTTCCAAACGTCATTTTTGTTAAATAGTTGCGGTATTAGGCATTAATATGGCAAAATTTAATGTGTGGTAATATTTTTCAATCATGACGGTAAGTCGATAACGGACCATATTTTGAGGGGGGAAATATCAGTGATATTTTGGAATTTCAGAACCTATATACTCATATTTAGGGCAATTCTCTTTGAACATATATTTGTTAATAAAACAAAGAAAAAGTTGTGTCAAGAAATAATTTAAAGAGTCATGTACAATAATTTTAGTCAATCGCAGAAAGTAGCTTTAACATTATTTATTTTGATTATAAGGCATGATTAAGTGGAAATACATGTCACTAAACGCTAAACGGGCTCTTAGGATGCTTTCTTTTGGACTGTTTTCAGTCTCAGACCAGGTCAGACCAGACCAGACTTTCGTAGTTATAAAATACACATAGACCAGACATTTACCAGACCAGTTCAGACTAGACCAGACCAACAAATTTCAGTTCAAAAGAAAACATCCTTAATATTTCTATTATGTCAACAATAATTCTGATGCTAACTTTTGAAATTTTCATATTTAGCTATTCAATTTTGTAAAAATAATACATTTGATGATTCTGCAATTTAAGTCTTTCACTTGACAATCTCGCAACAATTAAGAAAATAAATGTGAAAATTTTCAAAATCAGGGTGTATAAATGCCACGGAGTAACTGCAAGACTAGGGTCTCGAAGACGACGCCTGAAGTACGGATTTTGCTGTCTCACCAGTTGAAAGTTAGTTTAGATGTTACCATTGATTTTTTCGAGTTTGTTTTTAATTTTGGACGCTTAGTTGTTTGGGGGAGCTATGCCTTTGAGGTATGTAGTTATTGTTTGCGAAGAAGTAAGATGGCTTCAGAAGCTGAGATAATCTTCAAATTTCTCACATGGTTAGTGACTCAATCCGCTCTCATTAGGATGGTCGTTTCTATGTCTAATCAGAGGGCGAGGGGAGCTTCGGGTTATTGTGGGGTTGATAGTAGGAGGCTGCTCGGTACTGCAAAATTTGTAATGTCATGGATTGTTGGTTTCTAATATAATTTATCAGTTTCCTTTCAAAAAATGCCTCTTTCACAAAATTTTTGGATGTCCCTCTTTAGACAGAAAGTTGACAAAAACTCACAAGTCAATGAATGAAGACAAGTGTTGCTGAAACTGTAAAACACGTTTTACAACTTTTTTACAGCCGTGCATATTCAATCATCAGAACTAGTGATTGTTGCTAATATACACTACGTATAATCCCTTATTGTTGCAAAATCCTGAGAATGACAAGTGTGAATTGTTCATCCTTATCATCAGGACACTAATCCAATTTCCATTCTTGTAATAGACAGATGACTAGGTTTAATGTTTCCAGCAGATTATGTAGAATAATTCTTTGATGATTCATCTCCTAGCCAAACTAGTATAAATAGGGTGATCAACCCTTTGTAAATAAACTCAGAAATTCAGAAAATATTCAGAGATTAAGAAGAAGCAATTTAGAGCTTTTATCTATATATCTATCTCCCAAATTCGATCTTCATCTTCTTCATTTCACAACACGTTATCAGCACGAATCTGCTCAAAAGCTCTTCAAGAATTCACCATCTCCTGCAGGTATTAGCATCAATATTTACCATCTTCATTTAATATTTAAACCTAAAAATTATTTTCTGGTTTAAATAAATTTCCTATCATATACGAAAAGAAAAGAAAAATAACATGCAGACATACCTTTGATTTAAATATTCCTCAATCCGTAAAAACTCTTCATAAGAGAAATGAGAGTAATATACACCGTAATAAAGAATGAATGAGTGAAGCATCTCTACACTCGTAGTACACATACCTCTGCTCTATAAATTGGCTTCAATCATGATACTTCATAATAATAATACTCTCTAGTCTATGTAAAAGAAAGAATAAATGGATATAAATTTAGAATGCTCTATCTGAAAGAAACAAGATGAGAATCTTGAAAGAAAAAGGAGGATAATACGTAGTATTATAAATCGGTGGTGTAGGAGGTAACATAAGTATTAAAATTATGGTCCTTCTACGGTGCGTGTAGTATTCAGGTAAGGCAATTGCATGCATGAACTTTTGTCTCTTTGTTATATGTGGCTACACAATATATTTGTTTATATATATTGAACTGCAGATCGGCAGTCCCTTTTGGTCAGATAATCACGGACTACAACTGAACTCAACATTTAAAATATTAAATGCATTCTGCTAGTTTTTGTTTATCTGATAGTCACATGCGGGTTTAAATTATTTCAAGTTTTCATTTTCATTTTTTTAAGTATTTGATATGAATCTAAAAAAATCACTAATTGTACCCAATATTGATCAGTAATAATACAAAAATATATAAACATTTTGACTAATAAAATGTATATTAATAATTTCATGTAGTATATATCATGGCCAACATAAGCAAAAGAGAATTTGATGTCCTTGATCTGTCTGGACAAAAACATCTGGAATGGAAAGTTGATGTTTTAGCACATTTGAAGGCTAATGGTCTTGAAGACACCATTGAGGCTGATAATCAATCATCGTCCCAGGACAAAGTGAAAGCTATAATTTTTCTCCGTCACCATCTCCATGAAAGTCTCAAATCTGAATATCTTTTGGTTGATGACCCAAAAGAATTATGGGACAATTTACAAGAGAGGTATGGCCACCAACAAAAGGTCCTTTTGCCTAAAGCTCAGTATGACTGGATCAATCTAAGATTCCAGGACTTTAAATCAATCAGTGACTATAATTTTGCTATGTTCCAAATAACATCTAAATTAAAGTTATGCGGACAAAAAGTCACTAATGCTGATATGTTGGAGAAAACCTTTTCTACTATGCATATCTCTAACATGTTGCTCCAACAGCAATATAGAGAAAAGGGTTTTAAAAAATACTCCGACTTAATATCAGTATTATTGGTAGCTGAGCAAAATAATGACCTTTTGATGAAAAATCATAATCTGAGACCCACTGGTTCTAGTCCTTCGATTTATGGTCCAACTGGCCATAATTTAGTCACTGAATCAAATGCAACATACAGTGGCAGTAGAAGGCATTTTAAACGTGGGCATTTTAATGGTCATAAAAACAAGTCACACCGAGAATATAAACAGGTCAATAGACCAAATTATAAGGGCAAGGGCAAACAAAAGGCCCATCAAATAAATCGCCGTCCAAAACCCTCGGTAAAGACGACTTGTTATAAATGTGGCATGACGGGGCATTGGGCTAACAAATGCCGCACTTCAAAGCATCTGGTGGAATTATTTCAAGCTTCCATGAATTTGAACAACGGCAAAAATATGGAAGCTAATTATGCCAACGACACGACTCCACCTCTGCCAAAAATTGATGTGTCCGACTTTTTCGCGGATGATGCCATTATGGACGATGCTTTTGCAATAAACCAAAATGTCACAAAATAAAATATTAGACTCCGATCCTTATGTTGTAACATATTAGTTTTATGTATTTTTTCTTTCTTCTGTTTTTCTTTTGTTTTTAAATAAATGTGTGTAATATATGTACTTTATGTTAAATTATATGCACAATTTGTGATCAAGCTTATGTTTATTTACACATTTTGAAGATATGGATCACTCAAATGATAAAGAGCTATGTCTGATAGACAGCGCCACAACGCACACCATTTTGAGAAATAAAATATATTTCTCTCAAATGACTTTAGTTGAGGCTAAAGTCAATACCATATCAGGTGTTGCGAAGCTCATTGAAGGCTCTGGGAAAGCATATGTGATGCTCCATAACGGGACCAAAATAATTATAAATGACGCTTTATACTCCAGCAAATCGCGGAGGAATTTATTAAGCTTTAAAGATATGCGTCAAAATGGTTATCACATAGAAACCATGAATGAAAACCAAAAGGAATATATTTGTCTTACAACAACTAAATCTGGCACTAAATATATTTGTGAAAAAATGCCAGCATATTCCTCAGGACTATATTTCACATATATTAGTCCATTTGAAATAAATTCGGTTTCTGACACAAAGTTAGATGATCAGAAAACATTCATGTTGTGGCATGACCGTTTAGGTCACCCAGGCCATGTAATGATACATAAAATCATTAAGACTTCGCTTGGACACCCATTAAAGAATATAAGGGTTCCAATATCAAGGGATTTTCCTTGTAAGGCCTGTTCTCTTGGCAAAATGATCATCAGGCCCTCTATGAACAAAATTGCAACTGAATCACATGCATTTTTAGAAAGGATTCAAGGAGATATTTGTGGGCCGATAGCCCCACCATGTGGACCATTTCGATATTTTATGGTGTTGATTGATGCTTCAACACGTTGGTCACATGTTAGTCTTTTATCGACTAGAAATTTAGCATTTTCTAAACTCCTTGCTCAAATTATACGATTAAGAGCTCATTTTCCGGATCATTCTATAAAGAGAATCCGACTTGACAATGCAGGAGAATTTACATCTCAATCATTTAACGACTATTGTATGTCGATTGGGATTGATGTGGAGCACCCTGTTGCTCATGTCCATACACAAAATGGTCTTGCTGAATCTTTAATTAAACGATTACAATTAATCGCTAGACCATTATTAATGAAGTGTAATTTGCTTTCATCAGCTTGGGGACATGCTATTTTGCATGCAGCAAATTTAATTCGGCTTAGACCAACTGCATATCATGAATATTCCCCAGTGCAATTAGTAACTAGACAAGAGCCAAACTTAGCACACATTAAGATATTTGGTTGTGCTGTTTATGTTCCAATTGCTCCACCTCATCGTACAAAAATGGGTCCTCAAAGAAGGTTTGGAATTTATGTTGGATTTGAATCTCCCTCAATAATCAAATATTTTGAACCGATGACTGGTGACTTATTCACCGCACGATTCGCTGACTGTCATTTCAATGAGACAGTACTCCCAACCTTAGAGGGAGAAACTAATAAATCGGACCCAAGTACGAAAGAAATAACATGGAATGCAACAGGATTATCACACCTTGATTTCAGATCAAATATATGTGAGCAAGAGGTGCAAAAGATAATCCATTTACAAAATGTTGCAAATCAGTTGCCTGATGCGTTCACAGATACAAAGAAAGTGACAAAGTCACATATTCCTGCTATGAATGCTCCTGCCAGAATCGAAATCCCTGCAGAGAATTCTGAAAAATCTCTTGCAAATGACTCTTTTATACGCAAAAAGCGTGGCAGGCCGCTTGGATCAAAAGATATAAAACCAAGAAAAACAAAAAGGCAGGAATTAATCTGTGATGCCAAAGATGTTCATCCTTCTGAACAAGAAAATGAACAATTTGAAAATATTGGCATAGAAAATGATATTGACAAAACAAACATCTCAAATGATGATCCAACTTCCTTAAACGAGGAAGATATTCCAGATAATGATAGAAACGTTGATAATTATGAAATTTTAATAAATTACGTTTCTACTGGAATACAATGGAATCGAAAAGATATCGATATTAATGAGATATTTGTCTATGTCGTTGCCACAAATGTTACGAATGAAAACAATGACAATGAGCCAACATCAATAGAAGAATGTCGGAAACGACACGATTGGCCAAAATGGAATGAAGCCATTCAGGCTGAATTAAAATCACTTGAAAAACGTGATGTTTTTGGACCGACAGTCCCTACGCCAAAAGGCGTAAAACTAGTGGGCTTTAAATGGGTATTTGTGCGTAAATGTAATGAGAAAAATGAAATTGTAAGATATAAAGCCCGACTTGTTGCCCAAGGGTTTTCTCAAATGCCGGAAATTGATTATGAAGAAACTTATTCTCCAGTAGTTGATGCAACTACATTAAGGTTTCTTATTGGCATGTTTGTTTTTGAAAGGCTGCAAATGCGTCTAATGGATGTAGTGACTGCATATTTATACGGTTCACTCGATACAGACATTTATATGAAAGTTCCCGGTGGATTTAAAATGCCTGAAGATTATAGCTCGAAACCTCGAGAAATGTTTTCCATTAAACTACAAAAAGTCATTGTATGGACTAAAACAATCTGGACGAATGTGGTATAATGGTCTCAGTGAATATCTTCTTAAAGAAGGATATGAGAATGATCCAATTAGTCCATGTATTTTCATTCGGTGATTCAATTCGGGATTCGCCATAATTGCAGTATATGTTGATGACTTAAATATTATTGGAACTCCCGATGAGATTGAAAATAATGCAAAATATCTTATGAAAGAATTTGAAATGAAAGATCTCGGGAGAACCAAATTTTGTCTCGGACTTCAAATTGAGCATTTGAAGAATGGAATTTTCATCCACCAATCCAATTACACCGAGAAAGTTTTGAAGAGATTCTATATGGACAAAGCTCATCCGTTGACTTCACCAATGGTGATTAGATCTCTCAACATACACGATGATCCATTCCGTCCCCAAGAAGATGACGAAGAAATACTCGGTCCCGAAGTACCATATTTGAGTGTTATTGGAGCTTTAATGTATTTAGCTAATAATACTAGACCAGATATTGCATTTTCTGTAAATTTATTAGCTAGGTACACTTCATGCCCAACAAGACGTCATTGGAATGGGATCAAGCACGTATTCCGTTATCTACGTGGTACAGTTGATCTCGGCTTATTCTACCACAAAAATGCAAAAGCTGCTTTAATCGGATATGCGGACACTGGATACTTATCAAATCCTCAAAAGGCGAAATCACAAACCGGGTACATATTTACTTATGGTAACACCGCAATCTCATGGAGATCTATGAAACAGACAATGACAGTTATATCATCAAATCATTCGAAGTTAATTGCATTATATGAAACCGGAAGAGAATGTGTGTGGCTGCGGTCTATGATTCAACACATCCAAAATGAATGCGGTATGAAGCCTATTACTATTCAACCTACTGTGATCTACGAAGACAACATTGCGTGCATAGCTCAGATTAAAGAAGACTACATCAAAGGTGACATAACAAAACACATATCACCAAAATTCTTCTCTACTCACGATCTGGAGAAAGAACGGACGATCAACATTCAACAAATCAGATCCAGTGAAAATCCGGCCGATCTCTTCACCAAATCTTTACCCCCGAAGAAGTTCATTGAACTTGTACAAAAAATCGGCATGAGTCACCTTCAAAATTTAGCCTAAGTTCAGGGGGAGTATTTGAATGCACTGCACTCTTTTTTCCTTCATCAGATTTTTATCCCACTAGGTTTTTCCTGATAAGGTTTTTAACGAGACAGTACATCCAAATACAATGACATTATAAGTCGTAATCTTTACCCCTTAATTTTCACAATAAATTTTTAAAATAACAAATATCTATTCAAGGATGAACATTCAAGGGGGAGTGTTGTAAAATCCTGAGAATGACAAGTGTGAATTGTTCATCCTTATCATCAGGACACTAATCCAATTTCCATCCTTGTAATAGACAGATGGCTAGGTTTAATGTTTCCAGCAGATTATGTAGAATAATTCTTTGATGATTCATCTCCTAGCCAAACTAGTATAAATAGGGTGATCAACCCTTTGTAAATAAACTCAGAAATTCAGAAAATATTCAGAGATTAAGAAGAAGCAATTTAGAGCTTTTATCTATATATCTATCTCCCAAATTCGATCTTCGTCTTCCTCATTTCACAACAGTTATGATTTTGTTTGGCATCAATTTTTCCAAAACATTATTTCACCTTTTGTTTGGGGGATTGGTTAAAATGCATAGCCACGTGTATTAAAAGAGAGTGAGATAAAAATAGGGAAAAATAATTAAAATACCCCAAACTTTGAATGAGTGTGAGCTAAGCATCCCAAACTTGCATATGTAATTTAAACACCCCAAATTTTATATAAAAATTTTTTTTAGCACTACACTATGGTCATGTATTATTTTCTCAATAATGTTAATATTCGGTGTTAGTTTCATAATTTAAAATATTTCAGCATTCATGAAGATACAATTAACATTCGAAACTTTCATTAAAATAAATGATAGTACCCTCACTCTATATAATTGCAGCAGTTCAAGTTTTCTATTTTAAATTATACAATTAACACCATAAATTTATATTCTTGAAAGAAATAATACATGACCATGGTGCTAAAATAATTTTTTATATAAAGTTTGGGGTATTAAAATTACATATAAAAGTTTGGAATGTTTATCTCACACTTCTTCAAAGTTTGAGGTATTTTAATTATTTTTCTCATAAAAATATCCTCTCCGGTTGAACAATCTATTTTTACCATGGTGGTGAGGTGGGAATTCAATTTTTATCAAGTCTTTTGGCCGTAATAAAAGGCGATCATCTGACTGAAAAAAAGTCAAAAAAAAAAGAGTATTCTATTCACATCTTCAGAACGACAAGAAGCATCTATATTATGTTTATCAATCCTTCGAGGCTATGAATTATCTCTAATTAAAAACAA